AGAGCACGAGGGGCTAAACGTGTCGAAAGTTACAGGGATGGCAGCTTGGAGGCGTTAAAACATGCGACCTGAAGGGCCCCAACCGTGGCTGTTGGCATTTCTGAGAAGTTTAGGCTTGAGGGGGACCATACCATGGGGGGGTGCGGGTTGTCGCAAACCGGGGACCGGAACGATATACAGGGTTTCCCAGAATCAAGGGTACCATTTGAATACTATGTTGGGCGTCGCTAATTATTGAGGATTCTTAAGGATTACAGTGTTGGGGGTCTACATTGCGGCTCCCCTGCTTATGGAAACTGCTATATGGACCACTACTCATCATCACCTTCGCTCATGGTCACCTCCTCTGGGGTTTAGGGTTTACAGTGGACGCCGAAAAGTTGGAAACCACTTGGGGGTCAAATCGCGCCGGCCGGCTAGATTTCCAACTTTATTTCCCGGCAAAAAGTTGGAAATCCCAGCGCACCCGGCGACCGGGTAGCCGGGCCTGGAGGCCGTGTCCACATTTTCGAAACATTTTCCTGCCTCAGTTTGCGTGGAAAATGTTCTGGCTCCTTTCTCTTTTTTTATTGCCTGCAATATGGTTTTATGGAGCTTCCAGTGGAAGTTTACGTTGAGCTCATGGCTGGGGCTGCGTTGTCGATTTGTTTTTGCACATCGCCTTGTCGAGGCGCTCATGATTTTTTGCGCGTTGCCAAAATCATTCGTTAAATGTGCCTCTCCGCCATTGCCCCGAACTCGTTTACACAGGCCGCAGCGTCTCGTTCGCAAACAGGTCTATTTTTTCGCGGCGTACGACCGTAGTCTTGTCACGTGGACGGTGCGTTCCAGCGCGTTCCGTCCGCACATGGCCATGTGCAATTACGACTACATGCGGCGCGTTGCGTTTCCGGGGCATCGGTGCTCATGCAGCTGGCCTGCCGCGTGGCCTCCACTGCGCGCTGCCGCCCAAACCTAACGGTCGCGCAGGCCATGTCGAACCCCTTCGCCGGGGGGTTATTTGCATGTTCGCGACGAACGACGAAGTCCCAGTATTGCATGTTGTTGTTTTGGCGGCCTTGCGCTTCAGGTTTTGAGAATTTTTGGTTGTGGGAGGTTGGGGATTTGGGCCAAGCTGAACACATCGGGGCGGGGAACAAAACATATGCGCAACATTTGGACGTCGTTTAGCAGGACAAAATGCTGGCGGGGAAAAACATTTATAGTCCGGCAAAACACCACTTAGATGCCGGGACACACACCATCCAGCCCGGGAACAAGAACCGTCAGCCAGGGAAGCAGAACAGTAATCCCAGGAAAAACACGAGTTGGCCCGGGAAAACCACCGGCGCCCGGGAAAACACCAGTGAGCAATCGGGAAAAACAACACGTTTTTTTTGAGGCGTTATGTCTCGGGCGAGGCACCATTCCCAGTTCGAGCCTTCTCATAGGGACTCTATCAAGTGAGGGCTTCGGGAGGGGTTATTCCAAATTAGCGAGCGCCTTGGAACTTCTATTTCACTTTTTGGACCCACACTCCACGGTTACAGTATGCGGATACGCTCACATCCACGTGACGGCGCGGAAATTTTGCCAGAACCTGCGGACCCACCTCAACCCCAAAAGTTGGAAGCCTTCCCCAGCGTCCTTCCTCCAATTGATCCATGCCGCCCTCCCCATCCCCATGCCATAACTGATTGCACCCACAATTATTTTACAAGATGTTGGCGAGGGAAAGCACCGCTTAGTTGGGAAAAAACCCCGTTAGCCGCCGGGCCACACACCATTCAGCCCGGACAAACAACAATTAGCCAGGGAAACACAACAGTAAACCCAGGAAAAAACATTAGTTAGCCCGGGAAAACCACTAGTCCGCGGCCGGGAAAACACCAGTTAGCGCCGGGGAAAAAGACCAGTTAGCCCGGCACGACAGCATGGTGTGTAAGCAGCTTCGCACGCCCCATCCTGCACCAAATGGGCTAAGCACTTTTTCTCGATACCATTACCTTGTTTTTCGGGACCCACAATACGTCTCGTTCTGAGAGCACAACAGGTGTTCTTTTGGGACCCATGATAGGTGTTATTCGATCAACCTCACACTTCTAAAAGGAGCCGCCAATGCGCAGGTACAGGCCATGTCCAATGCATGTGACTCGTTATGACTACTTTGCGCATGGATGTCACGTGTGTTGGGCACGGCATGTGACTACCATATCCTTGCTTGCGTGGCCGAAAACGTACAGTGAATGCCTTCCTGAAAAATGGCTGCGGTAATTTTCTAGCACAAGCCGCACAATCGTTCTGGTCTCGTGCAAGCCCTACGGCACCCATGCAGCATGTCCTTCTTTTTCCCGCAGACAATGCAGGTTCAAATCCCCTTACCCCAATTCGCCCCTCCCCACGGAAGCATGCTGTGTAAGCTGCTTCAACATACCCCACCCTGCAGCAAATGAGCACGTAAAGTTGGCCAAAATGGTGCTGTGCGTAATTTTCGAAGGTTCACAAACTTCATGATTCACGCGTGTGCTCAGTGGGTGCAGGATTTCAGCCAGATCGTGTGCCTGGCAAACGCCCAGACCAGGCATTCCTGGAGTGCATTATCAGATATCGAGCTGTGAGACTCAAAGGTGTCTCCCTTATTCGGAGGGTACCACGCTTGGAACTTGACAGCTTCACCTGAAGCGGGGGCAGCAGGGACTTGTAGTCTGTGCTGTTGTGCGTAAAATGTGCCTTCATCTCCATGCAGCCATGCTGCGCCGGCAGCTCCCCTCTCTCCGTGTCGGGTGCGCCTTCCGCATCTCCTTCCGGATGACTGGGCCACTGCACGTGTCCAGAGCTTGCAGTGCGTCCGGCACGATGCATGTGTTCTCTGGAGGGCATTCGCCGAGTAGGTACTGTGGCGAACAAATATGGCTCTGTAGTTGCCGCCGCACCAAACACCCAACTCCTCCGGCTGCATTGACATGCGCAGGGTGACCACGCGGACCTGTTTGCTGGGCTTCGTTGCTTGGCATTGCCTACCCAGGTCCACCAGCAAATTCCTCTCAGGTTTCGCCCGCCAAGCATCGTACTTGCTTTGCTGGGCACAGGTGAGAGGCTTGCCGTTCCTTTCATGGATGCTTTTATCCCAGGGCTCGTTGACCCACTCCATGATGAGGAATTCCAGTGGCCTGTTGAGCCATGCCGGCAGTGGCACGCAGGTCTCATCAGTATCGTGCATCCACCAAACGTGGATTTTCCCGGCCGGCCACCTCCCCGTTATCCAGTATCCAGTTCCTGCGCCGCCTTGTCGAGGCCAAGCTCCGGGAGAACATCCAATTGCAGAAGTGCAGCCATGCTGCGCTTGGCATGCTCCATGACGCTTGCCAATTCTGCCAGGTCCCCGTCGAACTTGAGGTCAGCGAGCTCTTGGCTGGAAATATAGCCAAGCTTGAGCCACGCGGACATAATGATGTTGCTCCGCCGGTGCTCTGAGAGAGCTTTCAAAGCATAAACATCCGCGGCCAGGGAAACCAGAAGTGGGGCTTTCATGTTTACCTCCCGGTGCAAGTCAAAGTCTAGCTCGGCATACTGGCGGCCAAATGCCGGATTGTTGGTCCCCCCCAAGGCCTTCCGGAGCCAGGCCCGGCGCAAAAGACGCCACATCTGGTGCCACTGATCGTTTGGGCCACCAGCAGCACCAAAAACACCCGGAACTTTGATGCGGAAGGCCTTGTCCGCCCCGAGGAGCTGGCAGTTTTGCTCCTCCTCCCACACCTTGCGCAACTCTGCAAACTTGCCATCTGTGTGAACGCTCGCATCATCACAAATGACCAAGGCTTTGTCAGAAAGCTGGAGCCCGTACTTGTGGCTCCTGGTTCGGAGCTCCTCCGTCAAGAAGTCGAGGTACTCGACCATTGTCTGCCCTCGCCACATGTGGGTTGCTCCATGTGCCTTCTGCACGACTGCGTAGCCTCGCAGGCCCTTGCAGTCTGCGAGCTGCTCTTCGGACACCTTGTTGGCCGCGATGGTTGTGAATAACTCGAGGCTCCAAAATTTACATTAAAAGAATTTGAACTGGCACCTGTGAAACTTTGATGCTTTAACTCCAATTCTTACACTGCAGTAAAGATTAGACTCCACACCTACTTTGTTATTCAGAATTCACAGTTGAAGGCATTGGTAGAAAGTTGTGCAAGCAGGTTCCTGCAGCGGTTACAAATTTATGTACGTCATGCCGTGAAGGAACGCACAGGCTGTTTTCTGAAAGTTTCCAAGTTTAAGTGCAGGAGTAAACTTAGAAACAAAATTAAAGTTGGAAACCGTCATAAACCCAGAAAGAATGGTGCTGGAATGGAGGTTGAGGGATTTCCAACTTTAAGGCGTTAACCGTAGGATTAATGGAAAGGCCCTAAACAAGAAAACCCCAAACCCTGCAGCCCGAATCCAACAAAACCTCAGCCCCAAATGGTAAACCCTAAAACTTAATTCCCTCCTTTTAACAAAGCTCCGCTAATTAATAACAGGCAGTAACATTATCTTGCAGTGAATCTCAGTGGGCATGCTGATTGCTAGGGGCGGAGCTTTACTACTATCTATAGAGCGCTGGAGGGGAAGGCATTCAACCAACACACCCGATTTGATCACAGTCATGATGTCATATGCCCTTGTCTTTTCCATGTGAATCCCCATGATTGGGTTATACGTAGGTTTCTCGCTAGCCTAAAGCCCTCATTGCCATGTATACCTAGATCTCCCTGTACACCCCTCTAAACTACCCTGGTATAGAAAAGCATTAAGCCCACTACCCCCTAAGGATCCTGCATACTTATATGGGGGATACGAACTATATCACAAGTTCCTAGTGTAGACACCCTACTTTATACTTATGAGCTATAGTCTACACTCCTAGTACACTCCTGAAACTCCGAGTATCCCCACTTAAGAACCCCCATAATAGCCCTCTAGATACTCCCCTGTATAACCCCCTTTAATGAGTTTAAGCTGATTGATTGTATAGGCAGTACTTGCCGGCAAGCCACGAGAAGTCGCCGCTGCCCTTATCCAGGCGGACCAATAGCTTTGGATCCTTGAAGGCATGAAGAGCACCCCTGAATTTCAGGTCAGAAATTCAGGACTTAGGGTTGAGGATTGGAGCTTAGGGTTGGGGATTAGGATTTAGGGTTGAGGAGTAGGATTTAGGGTTGAGGGCTTTGACTTTAGGATTCAAAGTTGGGCGCCTTGGGCTTTTGGAACTCCTTCTTTTAAAGCCTCTCGGACTTTACGGCTGCCCAAGAGGCACAAGGTTCTGCTTAGCCCTCTTTGGGAACATTTAGAACTATCAGCATCATACCCTCTGCCTCATTCCTGATTATCACATGATATCAGTGACATCGATTCACGGTCGGAAGGGTGGTTCGACTGTGAAATGTGAACTGTGAATAGAATTCAAGACAAAAGCTTGAGGCATGTAGGGTCGCACAAGATATTACCGTGGGCATGAAAAGAATCATAACTGAGCTAGTCTCAGGCTCAACCCCCATGATTCCACCATCGTTTACCGGGGCGGCTGATATTGAAGCAAGACACTTTAGCGGGTGTGTTGCGCATGAGAAAACGTTGAAGGCTACCTCGAGTATACGCTGACATGGAATCTAAAGCTTGTGAGATCATGGGGAGCTTGCTGCAAGCTTGAGCGCCTTTGTTCAGGCTTATGGTTCGGGTAGGAGGAGTACTCACCGTGGCAATCCGGGCGACCCCCGAGACCAGTTTCGACACTTCGAGCTCATGTCCAACTATACTGGCGGCACTTCAACATGCAATCGCGAATCGACATCTCTCAACAACCTGAATCAACCTGCAGCTTTGCGGACGCTACAGATACATCTGACGAGGTTGTTGAATCGTGAAAGGCTTCTTCATAAGTTAGGACTGCAGACCCTCCAACAGCTGACCAAAAGAGGCTAGGCCGGATGGTCCTCGCAAGGGCTCATCTGGTCGGGGGGCCGCTCTTTACCTAGGCACCCGGATCTCTGCGTAGGGGGCATTACGACAGGAAGGTCAAAGGTGCAAAGACGTTCTACTTAGGTTTCAAGTTCTGGAGTGGAGTGAGGCCAGCATTTTCATTGGTCAATTGGTTGGAGCATTGGGGAACACAGCTTGGAATTCGCTAGGCTCTCAGCTTAAACTGGTCAGAATGAGGGTTTGGATTCTACATCGACTGTTCCTTTTACTGTTGCTGGTAGCAGAAGGTCACGAAACTTTGGATTCCGAGGGTGTGAAAAGGCGTGTGGGGACAGCTCAGCAAACACAACAAGCTATTGCAATCATCTTGGCAACAGTTGATTTTCCGGTGAATCAGGGGGAGTGAGGGTGGGAATGGAGATACCTCTATAATCTCTATATAAACCCTATATAATCCCTAGAACCCCATAGTTTCCATGTTCTTTTTCATTATCCCTATGTAACCTCACTACAGGTACTTTTATGGGGATGCACTCCAGCACTCCTACTTAAGCAACAAGGCTCAGGAACAATAGGACTCTACTACACTGGACGCATCTCGAAGCGAGGAGGTGGTCAAAAAACAAGGTACTTGCGTCTTTCGCCGCCGTGAAAGGTATG